CTCGAAGCTGAGAAGACCCGCCGAGAGCCCACACCTCCTGAGCTTGACAGGAAAGCCCCCCTGAAAAACGGGCGCCTTGAGCTGGGCAATGCGCAGCTCCTCATCGCCGTGGTCCGCACGGCAGTAGCCGACCACGCGGCCGCTCTCCTTCTCGCGCGCCACCAGAACCAGCGATGCGTCTTCCCAAGGCCACCATCCTCGACGATGGCGGAGTATTCCTGCAAGAACTCGCTGTCCTTCTCCTTGGCCCCGCCGAAGGCCGTGCAGAAGTCCAGTGCTCTGCAGCTCTGCACGAACAGGCGCCCCTGGAAGAGTTTCGCCTGGTAAACCACCAACTTTTTCTGGAGCTCCCTCACCTCCTCCAGGGCGTCTGCGGTGACGACCGTCACCCTGTAGCTGTCATTTGCCGCCACAACCTCCTGCTCCGGCGTTCCTGTGCTCTCCTCACCACGAGACCCGGCAAAATGCCGAAAATCTCCAGGGCGGACTCAAATGACCACATCGGAGTCCGCCCTGGCCATTTTCGGCATTTTGCCGGGTCTCGTGGCCCACTCTTCCAGTGCCAAGACACCTTCCGCGGCACAGCCGTCCTCCTTCTCCTCCTCCTCGGTTCGCTTGCGCTTCCTCGTGCTCGCACGCGAGCAGCTCGCGTGCGAGCTCGACGGTCGCGAGTCTTTCGGCCGACTGCCTCCTCTTGTTCACGACTCCCATTGATGCACCGGACTGCAGGAGGAAGATGGCCGTCTCAAGCCGCTGCCACTTCATGGCGTAGACAGCTGGGGCGAGACGGCGCTTTTTTAGCAGAAAAGCGCCGTCTCGCCCCAGCTGTCCACCTGGTTGACACTCGCGGCACAGTTCTCCACGAGGTGCTTGCAGAGCCTCAGCTGAGTTTCCTGCAGCTACCTCTCTGCAAGAGCACTGAGCATTCAGGATTCACTCAAGGTCTCCCCTCGACAAAACCACCACTTCAAGCATCGCGCAACAGACCCCTCAGCCTACTTCTTCTGACAATCGAGCCTCCAAGCCTCGCATTCCCCACCCCAAGGACTCATCCAGGTCGCTGGGTGTGGCCCTCTCTAGCCGCATAGAACCTCGGCCGGAACCACACATTCAGGGTGTATAGGGCATTGCCATTCTTCTTGTTACAAGTGCAACAACGCTTGTGATGACGATGATTAGAATCACGATGGCGACTGTCAGTCTTGCTGTTACATCACCATTGTTACAAAAACTACTCACCTGGTGGTCTAGCAAACGAGAGCTTGGGGTTGCTGTAGTGTCTGTTTAAGCGACGGGTTTTGGGGAAGGTCCTACAATTCTACAAACCTTCACGCCGAATGCTTCACGGCCGAGGAACAAGGGGCTTTGCCCCCAGTCGTCGCTCTTTGGCACCGGTTCGTCGCCGAGTCGACTGGGCTGCTGAAGGGGTTGCGACAAGGGGCCATGAAGTGCCAAAGAGTTGCTTCCAAACTGGGATAAACGCCAAACCATAAATACACCCTAAACCCTAAACCCTGCACCCTAAACCCTGGTTCAGGAGTTGCTCCCCAGTTCTGGGCTCCGTCTCCAAAAACACCATTTTCAAAAGACCCTCATCGGCCGAGAGGGAGGCGCCGGCCGAACTTCCAAAGGGGCTCTCGCTGTTCCGAGGGCTTTCGGCCACCAGCAGAGCGCAGGGCTGCAAAATCGAGGCTTCTAGGAATTTGGGTTTGAGGGTTGTTACGGGGGTTTAAGGTTTTAGGGTTTAGGGTTTACTGTTTCGGGTATAAAGATCGGGGTCGAGTGTGCACAGGGTTCATTCAAGTCCCTCTATGACAAGGTGTCAGTACACCTATGAACCGTTCTGTAGGAAGCTCAATCGAGGTGCCATGTGCCTTTAAAAGCTTCTGCCAGGAACACCTTTAGGCTGTGCACGTGTTGCCAGAATCACCTACATCAGGAAACCTATAGCAGACTGTAATGAACAAGCACCTCAAATCTTACGACACAGGGAGCAGGGGCCCCGTCTGGAAAGCTTTGCATGCATTTCTCCAAACTTCATGCATTTTCGTGTCCAGAGCTGGCAGTTCGCGCTTCGGGCTTCGAATTTGCCGCTATTTCAACCCTCCCCCCTGCCCTTCCCGGCCGCCACCCATGGCCTCAGCAAAAAGCGACAGATTTCCTCGGCAGAGGGGTCCTGCATACCGACCATTTAAGCAGATTGCTCTGGGTCTGTGGGTGATAAGTCCGTTGAGGGTTCGTTGATAAGCAGATCTTCCACGAAGGAGTGGTACACCCAATTCACCGGTGCTGTCAATGCTTCCTGAGCACGTCGCCAAAACATCCGACGCAAAATCCAGCTCTCACAAAACCCATCGCGGCTGCGACAGCTACGTCCGCGCCGATGGTTCAAGCATGTCTGATAGCATCGATGTTGGTGATGTTGGCTGATTGCGCCTATGCTGCCAAAGCCTCCAGCAGGAGGTGACGCTGTCATGTCTGCGTAGCCAATCTACCGTACATTCGGTACATGTGGGAAAGTCTCCATGGTGCATAGCTGAGATGAGTGCATCGATGACGACCGGGTGATCACGTTATGTAATGTTCGATCGTTCACGAGCATCCCGCAACCACGATGATATCCGAAGCCCTCCTTCCGTGCAGCCGCAAAGTAGACGGCAGTCTGCCCACGCCTCAGAGCGCAAGGAGAGGACACACAGCACTGTTGCAAAAATAGGCCAGCACTCGCAGGACCGGACAAC